ATGTGGCAGTTACATAATCTCCTGTCAACTTGAGCAAAGGGGTGGAGTCTAGCCTGTCAATCAGGGCATAGCCAATGAGGCCTCTGCATAGGCATGACCTACTCCTGAGGATTCTGGGAACTCCTGTTTTCCTCCCAGGAGGCAATACACACACTCTCTCTGCTACACATTCCTGTTGACAAACCAATGGAGCCAGAGCCCTGAAGCTGGAGGAGTCACATGGAGACCCATGCTGGTGCTGAGATGCTTCCACTGCCACTGGATCTACAGGACTTCCCACCCACTGGGCTGCATTCAGCATCATTGCATGGCTGCGTGAATTTAAAGAGGAATTTATGAACTAGTATCAGACATATGGGCTAATATCAGACTTATGGACTTGCTCTGAACTGGACTGGAATGTTTTCTTAATATATAATTGCTCCTTTATATAAAATTCACTCTTACGCGCATATATGAGTGTCTCTGGATTTGTTTCTCTAGTCAACCCTGACTAACACACTAAGTAGGAGGGGAAGCCCTAGTGGTGTAGTAGTTACCAGTTCAAAACCACCAGCAGGCCCTGGAAGAAAAAAGGAGGCTTTCTACTCTTATAACCAGTTATAGTCTTGGAAATCCATAGACAGTTTTACCCTACCCTTATAGAGTCACTATAGGAAAGATAGGTTCTACCGTGCCCTATAGTTCACTATATCATAATCAACTCAATGGAAGTGAGTTTAAGTAGGAGGGGAAATAACATTTATTTTAATTTCCACAGCAATTCTATGAAATAGGTGGTGCTATTATCTATAATATAGGTGAGAAAACAGAGGTTAAAAAAAGTTAAGGAATTTGCCTAAAGTCACATTAATGCTAAGTAGCAAAACAGGTGGGATTTTTAGCATTGTACAATGAAATTAACTTTCTTCTGTTTCTAGATTGTTCAATTAATCTGTCTTAGAAATAAAAGGATTTTGAACTTTGTGAAAATATATATCCCTTCTATTGGTTTAAAATTGTTGTCTTTAAAGACATTTTATTGTGTTTTAGATATAAGGTTGCACAGCAAATTAGTTTCCCATGAAGCAATGTATACAAAAAATGTTCCGTGCCATTGGTTGCTACTCCCACAATGTGTCAGCACTCTCCCCATTTCCACCCTGCCTTCCCTGTTTCTAGCCCCTAGCTTCCCAGCCCCTCTTTGCCTTCTCACTTTGCTTTGGGGCAAATGCTGTCTACTCATGTAGCAGATTATTTAAAGGACCAATCCTCACAAGTGTTATTGTTTATTTTATAAGTCAGTCTATTCATTGGCTGAAAGGCAACCTCTGGGAATGGTTTTCATTCCAGGTTAAAAGTGTCCTAGGACAACAGTGGAGGGGGTTCATCCAGTTTGTATCAGTCCAGTATGTCTTGTATTTGTTTGTTTTGTTTTTCATGAATTTGAATTTTGTTCTACATTTTCCCTCCATTGTGGACAGGACCTTCTATTGTCCTGGCCAGAGCAGTCCACAGTGATAGGTGGATACCATGTAGTTCTTTGTTCTCAGGCTGGAGAAGTATGTGATTCATGTGAGTCCTTAGTTCTATGAACCAATTCTTTTACTTTTTACTTTTACCTATCTGGTATCTTTGTGTCTTTATCCATGCATATTTGTGCATATCTTAATATTTATTTATGCATTCATTCATTCTCAAACCTTCTCTTTCCTTCCCCTTCGCTCCTTTCAATTTCTAGATTCTTGAAGAAAAAGAATGGTCAACATTTGATTTTAACATATTTATGAACTACTATTTGGGGATATTTTAGAAAACATATACTAAATAGATGATGTACATTTTTCTCTAGAAATGCATTGACTCACCATATACAGGTTCAAAAATAACTTTTCCCCTTAAATTCTCAAAAAAAATTTTAAATAGAAAAAAAGATGAAATTATTTTACCACAAACAAGATATTTCAAGATAGTGAGAGGTGTCCTTAAATGTTTGCAGGGTTAGTCTATTCCTATTTTAATCTATAATTAAAATATAATGCAATATAGGGCTTAATTATAACTGTTCTCAGCCTCGATGCTCTCCTTCTCTAATGAAAAAGAGTAACTACTCCTCAGTACCAGCAAGACTCATTTTTACGTGAAGTCAAATTTCCATAACCCTAAAGAAGACCTAGGACAAATGCCTCTGTGTTACAGAAGGTGATGACCCTGTTTCTACTAGAACACCTGGCTCCAATCACCAAGAAATGAACTCAGAAATTAATTCCGATTCATCAAGCGATAAACATAATTAACATAAGCACGTAGTTTATGAAAATATCACAAAGGAACATCAACACTGTTTACGGAATTCCGAGTTTCAGAGTAATTTGGGCTCATGTTACTTCATTTATGTTTCAAAATTGACAACTTTTCTCCCCCAAAGAGGTAGAAGTCCCCATCCCCATCTGCTTTCACCTTCTTTGAAACTTCAGCATCTAGCTCTCAGTAACTCTGACCTGCAATAACCTTCAAAATCTGTAGTCTCTAATCAATCAAACTTTGTAAACAAGCAGATTTTTCCTTCTAGGTCTGCGTCA